GAGAAGCAGTGATTGACCCCTCTGACAACACGTTTGAGAACTTTTTGATTTCTAATCAATTTGCAATGTGTTCTTAAATCACGTTTTCTCTTAGTCATTATGGGTTATTGGGGATAGAGTAATAGGAAAAACATTTGATCAATTAAAACTAAAAACTGCAAGACAAAGAATGTGCAAATAATGAATGGGTTTGAATATTTTTCCGATGCTGACTATTTGGTATTTGTAGTTGAACTAACCCATTTTCCTATGTTGTTTTATTTTTTAACTTAATATTGTGAAGATTCAATACTTAGATTGTAGCGGTGTGGGGCATCAGTCATGCAGTGTATATGAAAAACAAATCAATCCAAATGAAAACACAATAGTGATGATTCCATTTGATTTGGTATGCATGTTTATGCAAATCATGTCGTTAATCCTCTACCCATTGACTAACAAGACAGATCTTTTTCACTTTGGTTTGTATTTCAAATCATTTTGACATGGAGATAAAACATTTGTATTTCTGAGTTACAAATGGAAAAAAAGACCTTTCATTCACAGTTTGATGTTTGAGCACAACATATAAAGGTATCACACATGTAGACAGACGCTTTTTATTTCATATATGCAATGCTAAACATTTATATTTATAAAGGTTTATTTGATATAAGTCTACTCATTTGACAAGTATAGGTCCACATTTTTAAAGCTAAACTTCATTTGAAAAGATCATTTGTATAAGCTTTTCAGCAAACATTCAAACCTAATCAAATGAAAGAGTAACATAGCTCTAAATGCATTATAACCAAAACCAGTTCACCAATGCAACACATATGTATTTGTATGAATGCATTTCATAAGTTTGCAGGTTACACATGGGCAATGACAAAGGAAACCATTTCTAGAACAAATCACCAACACAACAGTTCCCTTTATCCTGTGTATGCCCTCCCCACCCCTCCCTGTACATAATGACTGTTTACCCTCAGTCCCACCTCACCATCAGATATGAACCTGTACATATAGTTCAGTACACATCTGCAGACCAGCCCGCTGGACTGAAGAGAAAAAGGAAATAGAATAGATGGATACATGTGTAACCATGGTTCATTAAGTGAAACGCCACACAGCCTTTTCAGTGTGTTCAAGTGGGGGACTAGAGAACTGCATTCATAACCTGATACATACGGATTAGTATTAGAAGAGGGGAATACAAAGAATCATTTTCATGTTATAATGTGGACAGCTGTGATAAATCTGACCCCCCATGGGACACCCCAGTATGCCCTATGTTCACCAGTAGTGGATTACACTTGGTCCTAGTGTTTATGCAGTTATTACAGGGATTGAAAGACCAGAGCCAAGATCAAAAGGTCAGTCAAACATGCATGTCCAGCATGCAAACAGTGGCACACTCACACAGACATTACCATACACACACCGCACATACATTACCATACACACACACACAGACATTACCATACACACACCGCACATACAGAAACACACACACACTCACATACATTACCATACACACACACACAGACATTACCATACACACACCACACATACAGAAACACACACACACTCACAGACATTACCATACACACACACACAGACATTACCATACACACACCACACATACAGAAACACACACACACTCACAGACATTACCATACACACACCGCACATACAGAAACACACACACACTCACACAGACATTACCATACACACACCACACATACAGAAACACACACACACTCACACATACATTACCATACACACACCGCACATACAGAAACACACACACACTCACACAGACATTACCATACACACACCACACATACAGAAACACACACACACTCACAGACATTACCATACACACACCGCACATACAGAAACACACACACACTCACACAGACATTACCATACACACACCGCACATACAGAAACACACACACACTCACACAGACATTACCATACACACACCACACATACAGAAACACACACACACTCACACATACATTACCATACACACACCACACATATAGAAACACACACAAGTCCTGTTGGTGAGCATCTATTGTACTGTGTCAGAGTTCAACAGGGCTTTGTGCTGCTGCAGCTGTGGGACTGACCTCAGACCCCCCCCCCCACCCCACCCTCAGTGTTAACTCCACACAGGGACAGAGTTCACAAGCTGTTCCTCTCAGAAACAGAACTACAGTGGCAAGGTAAAGTGAGTGAACCCTTGGAATAACCTGCATTTACATACATTTGTTCTAAAATATGGTTTTAACTCATAGCACACAAATGCTTGTTTTGTTCTTGTCCATATTGAATAAATAATTCAAACATTCACAGAGTAGGTTGGAAAAAGTGAAAACCTTTTAACAAAAGCTAATTCAGTCAGGAGTTCCTACCTCATTTGAATCAAACAAGATTAGAAGTGTTGTTCAAGCTATTTCGACTTATAATAATCACTTTTTAAAAACATGAAACATGTTCAGTTTGCTAACCACAAGAAGCATCTGCTGATGTGAACCCTGCCCCACAGAAAGATCTCAGAAGACCTACGATCCAGCAGCAAACTGAACATAGAAGAAAATAGCAACTAGCTGGTGAAGAAAGAAGCATGTAGTGGGGAAGAGTCAGAAATGTGATTTAGGATTTGGTTGAGACCAAACTAGAGCTAAAAGAGAGAGTGTATGGTCATAAACATTCCTCATGAATGTTCTCTTTCCAATTGTTTGCGAACACAATAGCCATAACAACTCCATTATATATCAATGACGTTAACTGCTTCTTCTGCTGCTTGAATCAAACAATGCAGTTCTAATGAACTTTATTCGGAGCCTGTCTTCATCGTGTCCTGATCTTCTAATAGTCTGCATCCTGAGCTCAGCTTATTGGGGAGCACTTAGGGAGTAGCCTGGGTTTGACATGGATAGGAGTGAATCTAGCCAAAGGTTAACAACCCAAGAGGAAGCAAGTACATCACCACAAAATCGATCATTCTTGTTTAGTTTACAAGAGCATTCAGTTTCAAAGTACTTAGTAAGTGCAGAGGAAGGACGGTTACATATGGCCAGCCATATGAATACATGCTTTGTGCTGTCTCATAGGGTACACCAACATACACATTTGAAAGAAATGAAAGAAATAAAGAAATAAAAACAGAACATGACATTTAAGACAACCATGCATTTCCCAATTCCTTTTAGTGGTTTCTAACAATCCTCCTCAGAGAGTACACTTGTGCAAAATAGTATATTAAGTACATATATAGAGTGATCAAGTTTTAAACAATATAATAAAAGAATAAAAGCTAATGTTCCAGTTCCAGCCTTTCATGGCTCTGGTGCTGCGTTCAGGAGGTGCTCATCAACGCATGAAGCAGGACAGACATCTGGAAGCTGCTTTCACTGCATCCTTTAAAAGCTCAAGAATAAATAAACGTCTCATTCCTCTACGTAACAATTAGAAAGGTTTGGCCTAAGTCATTCTTGATTCTTACTCATCGTTGATTGCACTTATTGTAAGTTGCTTTGGGTAAAAGAATCTGCGTAAATAAAATGCAAAAACAAATAACAGGATAGAATCATATCTGACTTGTGTGGTCATCAGAGGTGAATCCATCACCTGGACCGCAGAACAGTCATTTGTATAAGTTAACGAGGCCCTCCTGAACGCAGCATTATTTCAGTGTTGCACTATAGTTCCCAGGGTGCAGGGGTTTTCAGGGTATTGTTCAAGTAACTGTTGCACGTAGCCCTGGTCAAAGTGTCACTGGGTGTGTTTCAGACTGGTCCCTTGTTCAGTGAAACATCACCAACACATCTCTAGCAAAAGTGTAAAAGCAATTCATTGTGCAACTGTAGTTGTAACAATGCTAACAGTAGATCTTTAAATCATTTTATGTTTTTGTGCAAAAAGTATGTGTTTGCATGTATCACGTGTCTTTTCATTGGATAGTTCAGCTAAAGCTAATAATATTAGCCATGGGGAGGACGGATATAAAAGTTCAGACCCCTCCCTGTTTTCATTTAAGAAATGAGTGTATTTGTTTAGTTTGCCATCATCATTAACAATAACAGGCACGAAAGCTAAATCCTTTTAGTCCTTTTTTCTGGCAGACATTATTACATGTGAACACACTACTAATACACATGAACGATGGCTCTGTTCTATTCAAGGCCTGACAGTGTTCCAAATCCCAGACTAACATAATAATGAAACCAGTATGATGTCAAAATTGTTTGTGGATTTTTGCCTGGATGTGTCAATAATCTTGAATTTTATATTAGACGTGAGCTAACTGCCCCAAAAATGCATTGCAGCTCATCAGACTGTCCAATGACTGCGAGGGAGAAATATGAACCATTAGATACAAAATGATCGGTGATGGTCGGTGGAGTTAAGGAAGAGTTAAGAGGAAATGTCCAGGAGCTCACATGTGTACTGTCCTGTAGAACACATGTTTAGCTTTAACTTCCATTTCCTTACAGAAATACTGGAAAATATTCAATTTAGCTGATTTTTTCAAATCATTCTGCAGGGACTGTGCAAAATGAGTGATCAATGAACCTGCTAAGCCAGTGACAGGTTTGACACACACCCAATGTAGAGGACATTATTGTATTACTGTAAATCCTCAAATAGAATGCAGGGCAAACCAAATGACTGCTATATTTACTACAGATCAAACATGAGGGTTGAAATGAGATATGAAATGAAAATGAGCAGTGTATTTCACTGCTCTGATTTACTCGAATGTCTCATTGAATAAGTTCAGTTTAATTCTAGCTCATCTGCTGCCAACGTTTGCTGCTGCAACAAAACTCAACCTGGACGTTCCATGATAGAAGCTTGGCAATAAAGAGGAGGAACGTTTCCTCTGCACGGCTGCCAGTGTTTTAAAGTCAAACCGATACATAGAGGACACGTTCATTCTGCATTAACAGCAAACAACTAGAACCGTAAATCAACATGGCAACAGGGAGCAAATCTGAATATTTTAAAATGTACTTATAACATCATTTAATATAGTAAAAAATACCATTTGTTTTCTTCATTTGAGAAAAGACAGTAATCATGTGTTGCACCCTCCCACACTGAACACACTGAAACGTTGACTTCATTCAATGTATGATGTCAACACATTTCACATAACTGTATTAGGTTAATCAAAAGCAATAATATTACGTTTAAATAGGTTCAACTTAATACATTTAGATAAAGTCAACGTTTCAGTGTACCTCCTGATTAATTCATAAAGGTTCCTCATTTATATTGTCGACTTATTTCAAGTCGTGTGCACTGAAGAACAGTATGCAACCTTGCACATACAGACACTCTGATGTCACACAATCATTCCCAGCTGATGAGCTGGAGAGGTGATATCTCTCAGTGAGTCTCGATGACCACCGGCTCAAAAATACCAGGTGTTCCTCTGGGAAAACACAGAAACATGCTCGGTCAGATAAAAGAAAGTAGATTGTTAAAAGATGCAGTAGATGAAAACTGCGTACCTGTTGGAGAGCTGAGTCCCGCTGAGGGCGGTGGTTCCATCTTTACTGACAAACAGTCTCAAGTTGCTGTCTGAAGGAAAACAAGGAATCCCGGAGAGAGGTTTACATTATGATACACACATGCTGAACTACATCCCATAAACTCTGTCCTACCTTCATTGTTGCTGCTGTCAGAAAAGTTCTGGCTCTGGACGATCTTCTCCACGATGTCGCCTGCATCGATGCGGGTGTCGTCCACACAGCTGGGCTGCCTCTCCACCGGGTCCTTCTTCCTCCTGACGACAGGAAAATAACATTAATATCTGAAATACACTCAAAGTCAGAAAGCATTAACGTCCTGCTTTTTGCCACAATTGATCATTTTAGAGGGGGGGTTGAGTGATCTTTTTCTAAGCAAATCCCATGAGCAGACCCAAGATAAACACTGAATGTATCGACTGACAGGCACTGTTGTTTCAGAGCTCCTCTGTAGACAGCTATACCATTTCAAATTCACCCACTACCCAAGTACGCTGCAAAAACTAAACCATTGACTTTAATTAAAAGTATTAAGTCAACACATTTCACATTAAGTTAGTAGAAAGCAATAATATTAAGTTGAACCTGTTTAAACCTAATACTACAGCTTTCCACTAACCTAATACAGTTATGTGACATTTGTTGACATAAAAAACTCGATTAAAGTCAACGTTTCAGGGTTTTCAGTGTAAGTGCAAAGTGTTCACAGAGTACGACATGGCAGTGTATCTGAATTGAGACACAGACTACATTACACTTTAAAAATGTACTTTTAATAGCTATATTCTCAGTAACATGATAATCGGAAAGAAAACAGATCGCTGAAATAGTTGTAACACCCCACTTTGCATAGATATCAATGCTGTTAGCATTGGGGCCAACGTTTTAACATCATATTGTTTCAGGAGCTTCATGAAGACATGTAGCGTTAGCTACCATTTCAGCTGTCTCCTCACCTCATCTCCTTAGCCTTTAAAACAAAGCTGCTGAACTAAACTTCTTAGAGAATGTTTCATTGCAGGGTTTTCTCTGTGTTGTGTTTGTTGTCACTGTGGGCTTGTGGTTGAAAATGAATAAATGAATGTGAACAGAGAGCGGTGACCTTGCACAATGATGTTGCCCCTTCTCTATCATTTCGTGTTAGCATGCCAACATTTGCTGTTAAGCCCTAAAGAAAACTGCAGCTTATGAGAGTTGTTTTAGTTCTGAAATGATTTAGTGCCACCCTCTGTGGTTCTGGATGAAATGAGGGTTCACTCAAATCTGATTATTTGTCCTCTGGAGAACACAGATGTCTGGACCAAAATGGTCTAAACCAAACCAAGCAACATTTCATTCAGCAGAATGCCTCGCTAGTTGATCAAATGCATTTTGTAATTTTAGGAGGAATGTTTCGTATGATTAATGGACTTTATAACTGATAAAGCCAGAAAGCAAATGCTACGAAAAGGAAATGTGTGTTCTAATAAAGTGTGTAAGTATTTACTATAGGTAGTGTCATTTTATTTGTATAGCACATGAGGAGTGAGGGTATGAGGCTTGTTTTTGTGCTGGTTGGCATTCAGTGTGAGCAACACACACTCCACACAATCCTCCTCTCACATCATGAGCGCCTAAAGAATGTCTGGCATGCAGGTTTACACATGCCTGAGATTCAGACTTCTGTCAGAGTGATGCTGTCCAGACACGCCTCGGTGTTGTGTCACAGCGCAGGTGTGTATCTACCTGGAGGATCTGTTGGACATGAGGGCTGCTGCAGAGGGGGGGGGGGGGCCTCTCTGGTTTGGTGGGAGATGCATGTCGCTGAGGCTCGGTGGGGGTTGAGGGGGCGTTCTGGGCTAACCCAGTGGAAACACTACTGCTGGAGGAGGCGTTCCTCTGGTGACTGAGGTCAGTCAGGCTGGAGCAGCGAGAGTGAGCCGTGCTGTAGCCTGGAGGAGAGGGGGGGGGGGGGGGGGGGGAGGAGAAGATATGAAGATATGGAATGATGCTTTTCATTATATGCAAATGCATATATGCAAATGCAATCACATACAGTACGTTCATACAGGCGTTCATCATGTCACAATCATTTATGATTCTCATGTGGACGGGGATGACAGGAGAGGCTGGAAAAGGAAACGTTTGATTATGAGCGAAGAGAGGAGGATTTAATCATAAAGCCTGAGTGTCTCTAAAGACTTGTGATTGGTTCAATGACTGAATGAAAAGCTCCTTTTAGTTCAAAGGACAAATGAGTGACAGGTGAAACACTTTTGTTGACTTTAATAAACGTATTATGTTATCAATTACACATAACTGTATTAGGTTAGTTGAAAGTAATAATATTATGTTTAAATAAAAAATATTAGTTTCAACTTAATACTATTGATTTCAACTAACCTGCAGTAATACAGTTATGAGAAATCTGTTGACATAAAACATTTAATTAAAGTCAATGTTTCAGTGCTATCAGGTAGGGAAACTAATGTAATATGCATTCATTATGAACAGTGCACATGATGGAATGTGGTATTAGAACGTGCCCCCCCCCCCCCCCCTGACCTGAGATCTTGCTGTGCTGGCTGGCTTGGCTGGAGCTGCGGATATGACCAGTGTGGAAGACCTCCTCTGACACACACTCCCCCTCCTCAGGAAGCCCTGCAGAACACACACCGTAAACACACACACACACACATCTGACTGAAGAGCATGGATCAGAAACATGATCCGGTCCATTCTGAAGCCTTTAGCCGTGCCGGTTTTTTGTTTTATTTTGTAAAATGTTGTCTTGAATACCTGTTAAAAGATTGGTTCGACATAATTGGAAAACATACTTACTCTTTAATCATTTTGGGATGTAATTTAAATATTTGTATGTTATCTTAATCTACTTATATTACCATTAAAACGCTAAGGACACAGGGAACCATGCTGAGCAGTTACCTGAGCTACGTACTGATGACTGTCTGGGTTTGAAGGTGCGCGCCCCCCCGCTGACGCCCCCCAGAGGCTGCCCTGTGGGGTCAGTGCTCTCCCCCTTACAGTCCAGCTGCAGGGTTGGGTCCTCGTCTCCAATGGAGACAGATTTGGTCGTGTTGGGAGGCCTAGTGATGTCAAAAACTAAAATAAAGTCACCACAGTCACAGTCTCATTTGTGGGTCAGAGGGGAACAGGGACAGTTGCATGCTGGGATTGTCAAAAAACTGAAATGTAGATATTGAAGTTGTATAACAAGTTGTATTGTATAATATTGAAACACTAAGTCTTAGGTTGGTGTAATCTTGCAATAAAATGTTACTCCTTTACTGAGTCATTGTTAAGTAGAATATGAACACACATGATACTCATATTTTAAGATTCAGTGTGACTGTTAAAATCATATATCTTACAGTATGTGCTGTATGTTCATCAAGACTGAATGTTCATAAATTGGTTTAATGTTGCCTGTGCATCAATGCATACACAGCAAACTGGAACTACGAATAGGTCCTTTGGCTTACTCTGGCTCATCTACACTATCGGTCTAATTTACCAAAATGTAACAAGTATAGGTTAAAGCTATAGCTTGTTTGTGTTTTTTCTGATAGGTTGTGCACAGAGTCAGAATCCCTGACCAACAGGAACTCACGTTTTAAAGCAGGGATCCCCAGACAGGAGAGTCATTCCAATTGTTACCTATAAATGAAGACAGATGTGTTACTAAATGTGTGTGTGTGTGTGTGTGTGTGTGTGTGTGTGTGTGTGTGTGTGTGTGTGTGTGTGTGTGTGTGTGTGTGTGTGTGTGTGTGTGTGTGTGTGTGTGTGTGTGTGTGTGTGTGTGTGTAGTGTGTGTGTGTGTGTGTGTGTGTGTGTGTGTGTGTGTTGTGTGTGTGTGTGTGTGTGTGGTGTGTGTGTGTGTGTGTGTGTGTGTTTTGTCCCTGCCTTGAGGATAGAGTTGTCCTGCCGGGTGTTTTTGGTGTCATAACCCTCCAGGATGCAACAGCGAACTGTGGAGCCTGAACCAGCAAACTCTGCTATGTTGAGATCAGCAAAACCTAGCTGCAGACAGACAGACAGACAGACAGACAGACAGACAGACAGACAGACAGACAGACAGACAGACAGACAGACACACAGACAGACAGGAGGAGAGAAATGAGAACAGAATTGGTGTAATGTGTTCCATGAAATTAGCACGGAATATTCATGTTCCCAAAGGATAACTTCCCAAAGAATAATCTAGATGCTTCAGTAATGAACAATTACAGGCCAATATCAAACCTGCCATTTCTAGGTAAAATCATTGAAAAAGTTGTATTTCAACAGTTGAGTAACTTCTTGCATTTAAATAACTGTTTCGATGTGTTCCAGTCAGGATTTCGTCCAAACCACAGCACTGAGACTGCTCTTGTAAAGGTCTTCAATGACATCCACTTAAACACAGACAGTGGCAGAACTTCAGTGTTAGTATTATTAGATCTCAGTGCTGCGTTTGACACTGTTGACCACAACATATTACTAGACCGACTAGAAAACTGGGTGGGACTTTCGGCAACAGTTCTAAATTGGTTTGAGTCCTACATAAAGGACAGAAAAATGTTTGTTTCTATAGGTAAATACACATCTGAGTTGACAAATATGACATGTGGGGTACCTCAAGGCTCCATCTTGGGGTCTCTTCTCTTTAACATCTACATGCTACCAGTGGCTCAGATAATGAAAAACAACAAAATAAGTTACCATAGCTATGCGGATGACACACAAATTTACGTAACAATTTCACCAGGAGATTATGCTCCAATTCAAACACTGAGTAAGTGCATTGAACAAATCAATGACTGGATGTGTCAGAACTTTCTCCAATTAAACAAAGATAAAACTGAGGTAATGGTTTTTGGAGCCAAGGCAGAACGTATAAAAGTTAGCGCTGAGTTTCAGTCTGCAATGTTCAAAACAACAGATAAAGCCAGAAATCTAGGTGTAGTCATGGACTCTGACCTGAGTTTCAACAGTCCCATTAAAACAGTTACTAAATCAGCCTACTATCACCTAAAGAACATATCTAGGATTAAAAGACTAATGTCACAGCAGGATTTGGAAAAACTTGTCCATGCTTTTATCTTCAGTAGACTGGACTACTGCAATGGTGTCTTTACAGGTCTCACTAAAAAATCTATTAGAAAGCTGCAGCTAATTCAGAACGCCGCTGCTCGAGTCCTCACTAACACTAAGAAAGTGGATCACATCACTCCTGTTCTGAAGTCCTTACACTGGCTTCCTGTGTGTCAAAGAATAGATTTCAAAATATTGCTGCTGGTTTATAAAGCTTTGAATGGTTTAGGCCCAAAATACATGTCTGACCTACTGCTATATTATGAACCATCCAGAACTCTCAGGTCTTCAGGGACTGGTCAGCTTTCTGTCCCCAGAGTCAGAACTAAACATGGTAAAGCAGCATTCAGTTATTATGCTCCAAATATCTGGAACAAACTCCCAGAAACCTGCAGGTCCGCTGCAACTCTTACTACTTTTAAATCCAGGCTGAAGACTTTTCTTTTTGCCGCTGCTTTTAATTGAACTATTCACATCTTAAACTGCACTGTAACTTTGAACCTTTATCCATGTATTTTTTCTTTTAATGTTTATTTTATTATCTTTTCTTTTTAATGACTGATTTTAAATGCCATTTTCATAATGTCTTCCATTTTTGTAAAGCACTTTGAATTGCCTTGTGTTGAAAGGTGCTATATAAATAAACTTGCCTTGCCTTGCCTTGCCTTGTGTTTTGAATGATTCATTGACCTTTCCTCCCGTCCCATTAAAAAAGCCCAATATCCATTAGTGGTATTTCCAGAGCTGAATCATGCTCCTTAGCAGGCACGTGCACACATAGACATCAAAGTGGGCTTGAGCCCCTGCCCTTTTTCTTCCTCAGAGTAAGTGCCATTCTTTTCCCCTTTTTTATTTTTTAAATAAATGCATATATATCTACTGCTGTTTGAGCATTTTCCCTTTCCAAAAATATATTGATTGAATACAAAATAAACATATCAGGTCAGGAGATTAGACTGTGAAGTTCCGATGCTCTCTCTACCCTCCCTCCCTCCCTCCACGTCTCGCGCACAGCGGTGGGAACATCGGCAGTCCCTTCAGACAGACAGGTAGCAGCACCTCCCACTTTACAGTCCCTTCAGACAGACAGGTAGCAGCACCTCCCACTTTACAGTCACTTCAGACAGACAGGTAGCAGCACCTCCCACTTTACAGTCCCTTCAGACAGACAAGTAGCAGCACCTCCCACCTTACAGTCACTTCAGACAGACAGGTAGCAGCACCTCCCACCTTACAGTCCCTTCAGACAGACAGGTAGCAGCACCTCCCACCTTACAGTCCCTTCAGACAGACAGGTAGCAGCACCTCCCACTTTACAGTCCCTTCAGACAGACAGGTAGCAGCACCTCCCACTTTACAGTCCCTTCAGACAGACAGGTAGCAGCACCTCCCACTTTACAGTCCCTTCAGACAGACAGGTAGCAGCACCTCCCACTTTACAGTCCCTTCAGACAGACAGGTAGCAGCACCTCCCACTTTACAGTCCCTTCAGACAGACAGGTAGCAGCACCTCCCACTTTACAGTCCCTTCAGACAGACAGGTAGCAGCACCTCCCACCTTACAGTCACTTCAGACAGACAGGTAGCAGCACCTCCCACTTTACAGTCCCTTCAGACAGACAGGTAGCAGCACCTCCCACTTTACAGTCCCTTCAGACAGACAGGTAGCAGCACCTCCCACTTTACAGTCCCTTCAGACAGACAGGTAGCAGCACCTCCCACTTTACAGTCCCTTCAGACAGACAGGTAGCAGCACCTCCCACTTTACAGTCCCTTCAGACAGACAGGTAGCAGCACCTCCCACGTTACAGTCCCTTCAGACAGACAGGTAGCAGCACCTCCCACTTTACAGTCCCTTCAGACAGACAGGTAGCAGCACCTCCCACTTTACAGTCCCTTCAGACAGACAGGTAGCAGCACCTCCCACTTTACAGTCCCTTCAGACAGACAGGTAGCAGCACCTCCCACTTTACAGTCCCTTCAGACAGACAGGTAGCAGCACCTCCCACTTTACGGTCCCTTCAGACAGACAGGTAGCAGCACCTCCCACTTTACAGTCCCTTCAGACAGACAGGTAGCAGCACCTCCCACTTTACAGTCCCGTCAGACAGACAGGTAGCAGCACCTCCCACTTTACGGTCCCTTCAGACAGACAGGTAGCAGCACCTCCCACTTTACAGTCCCTTCAGACAGACAGGTAGCAGCACCTCCCACTTTACAGTCCCGTCAGACAGACAGGTAGCAGCACCTCCCACTTTACAGTCCCTTCAGACAGACAGGTAGCAGCACCTCCCACTTTACAGTCCCTTCAGACAGACAGGTAGCAGCACCTCCCACCTTACAGTCCCTTCAGACACAGGTAGCAGCACCTCCCACTTTACTGTCCCTTCAGACAGACAGGTAGCAGCACCTCCCACGTTACAGTCCCTTCAGACAGACAGGTAGCAGCACCTCCCACCTTACTGTCCCTTCAGACAGACAGGTAGCAGCACCTCCCACTTTACAGTCCCTTCAGACAGACAGGTAGCAGCACCTCCCACGTTACAGTCACTTCAGACAGACAGGTAGCAGCACCTCCCACTTTACAGTCCCTTCAGACAGACAGGTAGCAGTACCTCCCACTTTACAGTCCCTTCAGACAGACAGGTAGCAGCACCTCCCACTTTACAGTCCCTTCAGACAGACAGGTAGCAGCACCTCCCACTTTACAGTCCCTTCAGACAGACAGGTAGCAGCACCTCCCACTTTACAGTCCCTTCAGACAGACAGGTAGCAGCACCTCCCACTTTACAGTCCCTTCAGACAGACAGGTAGCAGCACCTCCGACTTTACAGTCCCTTCAGACAGACAGGTAGCAGCACCTCCCACTTTACAGTCCCTTCAGACAGACAGGTAGCAGCACCTCCCACTTTACAGTCCCTTCAGACAGACAGGTAGCAGCACCTCCCACTTTACAGTCCCATGTTATGCCGGCTTTTCTTGGCTTGTTTGAAGGTGAGTGGTGATGAACAAATGACTAAGCTGCCAGTGCCTCGAGTTTACAGCTAATTAGCCAGAAGACAAAAACAAATAGTTAGCTACGGTAGGCTACTAGCTAATGGATAAGTTAGCTCAAGGTTTAGCTAAGGCAATGTATCATGGGCATACAGGCTAATGTACTGTACTTAAGGGGAGACACTAAAGGTGAATACAGTCAAATGTGTATCTATAACGTCATCACAATCGCCACATTGATATGCAAATTAGGCGTTAACTAGAACACTAGTAATAAAGTACTATTTTATCTCTTATCTTATCTTGATTAAAATGTGCTAATGTGCATGCAGTTACCAAGGCATTGCAGATGAAAAGGATAAAGCAAAAAACAAGCCTCACAACTTCCCCAGATAGTTACTTAGGTCAAGTCAGTATTTTCCCCTGAAATGTTGTGTTTAAATGCAGATTAGCTTTAAATCTATAGATAACTTCATAATTGTGATTGTTGGCTGCTCATTTAATAACTATATTTAACTTTTTGTTTTACATTTTTTTTTATATAAATGATTATGGGAAGTGCCCTTTTTCTCACTTGAGCTCCCGCCCCCAAAAATGTCTGTGCACGTCCCTGCTCCTTAGAGCCTAATTGTTTTAGATTCTCAAGAAATGTGTTCATTTTCTGAACATGATAATGCAGTATGGGGAACCCCTCTAGACTGTAATGACCACAGGGCTTGTGATAAGGTCCTCTTTAAAATAGTATTTTAAAGAGGGCATTTCAGCAAAGATTAACTATGATCTGAATGGACAATGTTTTTTTATTTACCAGGTTGTGAAGGATTTTGAATGTACCCATTACACACTTCAGAAATCATTTGATCTTTCATTCATTTAACTCATTGACTTCTCATTATAAGTGAAGAGAAGGCGGTGCAGACAGAGGAAAGAGTCCTGGGTCAAACAGACAAACACATTGCACACACATTACTCAGCATGGATTGACGCCAGTAATTAACCTATAATCACGGTGTGACACGACACTATAGCGCTCAAACAGCTGATACTTTAAAAGACAGGACACACACACACACACACACACACACACACACACACACACACACACACACACACACACACACACACACACACACCACACACACACACCACACACACACACACACACACACACACACACACACACACACACACACACACACACACACACACACACACACACACACACAATGTGATGTGTTACTGACCACTTCTCCTGTCTCTGTCACATGTCTCTGTAACAAAGCACTGGGATGTTGACATGCTTGGTGTTTAACACCACTTTTACTGACCATCACTGACTCTGTCAAGTTTTATACAGAACACATGCCTCTCTCAACTTTATGAGGCCATAGTTCAGGTCTAACGGGTTAGATAAACTGTGCTGAGCTGGACTGAAGAGGAGTTTTGTTGTCTTGTGTATTTTTATGGGTAACCAATGTACCGCAGGTCTCCCTTGAAAAAGAGATCGTTGATCTCAATGGGATTTTTCACCTGGTTAAATAAAGGCTACAAACAAACATTACTGGTTGTAATCACATCATAAACTAACCTTACCTTTGAGAAGGCCTTTCCACCTTTGAGCTCCTGGAGAGAGAAAAAACAAAGCAGTCAGTGAAACAGTCTGCAGTATGTCAGACTGTGATCACCATCTCCACAGTCTTTCTCATAAACACATTACAGCACATCACATGGACCCTAACCCCTAACTGAATGTATTTACTGTATGACATTTTCAGGATTCCAAATGGCCATTTTAACCGGAAAATGTTCATAGTTGTACTCTATGTGGGCTGATTTTAATGCATTTTTGATAGATTTTTGAAGTTTAAGGGGCCTCTGGATCATTTGGATGGTGGACAAATTGCTTAATCAATTGAAAAATAATTGTCCACAGTAGATAATAATTTGCATCTATATCCAATGGTCACAACACTGCTCATATTAGTCAAATCTGGTTTTAAATAATGTATTATTCAAATATAATACATTTCAGGATACAATATTTGTATCCTGAAATTGTTAAATTCTCTATTATTTCAGAAATGGATTCAGCATCCTCAATAACCTCAGAAACCACTCCAAAATTGTCATGAGTGCTAATTACGGCAAATGATGCTAATTGTGCAAATTGCCCAACATTATGTGAGGTAGTATCAGGCAGTTGTAATTACTGGGGGCCGTACTATACATGCACAGGTGGCTGCTGGGAATTACCTTACGTACAGAGACCCGGCAGATGCAGGGGTCCAACACTCCAGTGATTGGATTAGCACCCATCTTACACACGAAAGAGAACTTCTTCTTCCATCGAACACAGTTCTGCTGCACCTCCTCTCTACACACACACACACACACACACACACACACACACACACACACACACACACACACACACACACACACACACACACACACACACACACACACACACACACACACACACACACACACACACACACACACACACACACACACACACACACACACACACACACACACACACAATGTGATGTGTTACTGACCACTTCTCCTGTCTCTGTCACATGCCACTGTTGCATTTTATTAGTCATACAACTCCCAACAGTAGTCATGTAATGCATTGAGCTGCAATGTGATTGGGCTAAACCCTCAGCAGGCTCCTCGTAGCGAGAGCCACTCTTTAAAAACTTTAAAATGTGTTTATTTACAGGCCATAATGATAGATACATGTCTGAGCAATGTATAACCAAAGGACTGTGTTACATGCTTTTTGAAACACAAGACAATAAATACTTCAAAAGAACTTAAAGCTGCGTTGGGTAGAAATATAAAGGACAGTGACAGTAGTTTGTGTCCTCTGCAATGTTTTAACATAAACTTGTATTATCTACTCCGCTTTGCTTGGAACCTTGGCTGAGGTGGTTCTCGAAAACAGTGCTATCCAAAACTTCTCCTAAAGCAAAACCAAAGAGTGTGTCGAGCCGCTCCATGAAGTTTAAACATTGCATAGCTGTGTCAGTCTGTTCAGGCAGGGTTTCTCATATTTGTTTCTGCACAATCATTCTTAATAGCTTGAGTAAATATCCTCTGGCTCTCTTTTCCTACATTAACATTAACCCTAACATGAACACTATCAAAGGAACTTTTCCCACCCCGCTTATCTAAAGGCTGACCTGAAGTTTAGTGCTCCTAAAACAACAAGCCTGGAGGCTGGGAGAGGCAAAGGACTGCCAGACAGGTTCTGCCACTTCTTTTCTTACAGCCAGCCTTCACAAACACACCATTGTACAGCGAGTAGATACAGGCAGCGCTTTCTCTCACAATGAAGCTGTGCTTTACATGGCCGCTCGCTCACAACCTCAAGGAGACGTTTAGAACAGTCACAGTCTGAGTTAGTGACTAATGCATGCTTTTAAATTTCAGTATACACTGTTGACCGGTTTTTGCATTATTTTAAGTTTTCCATTGTATTTCTAGGTTTGTTAATGTGCATTAAACAGGTGCATGGATCTACACTGAATTTGAAGCTGAAACATAAAGTAAATGAAAATGGCAACGCCCTGATATCAATTGTATGCCTCAGTTTATAATTTACACATGTGCATTACAACAGATCACAGTGTATATACAAAGGCTAAAAACATTAAGTCACTGGAACTGAACAATATTCTAATTTACTTTATGATCAAAACAACTAGAAATGATTTTACATTCATTTTCCCATGTGAAGTTATCCGAACTGACACAACACAGACTAGAGTGGGAACTATTAAGGAAGAAGGTTATGTTTTCCCACTGCCTTGTAAATGTATAAAATGTATACTTACAAAATACATAAAAGTTGTGAAAATTGCAGTTAATGTCTTCTCTGTCATTTGTAAACTTTGGAAAGTCATCCCGAGGGCCATATTGGACCCTCTGGCGGGCCTGTTTAGGCCCACAGGCCATATGTTTGAATCCCCTGATTTAAACACTGTCGCTGCAGGAAGAAACATCTGCCCTTCACACTGCAGCTTCATGAAGCACAGCTGGAGAATCTGGTGAATGTGTTCGTGGCTGCCTCTTGGCTGGAATCTGTTGAAGATGTTTGAGCTTTCTCCTGAGGAATAACACCTGTGTCTGACAGGAGAAGGCTCAGAGCCTGACCCTGTCCTCACTACACCAGAGACTCAGCAGGTCAACTTGTCTGCTTACATTCTTTAGCACACACTCACTTGTGTTAAGAGCATATTCGTCTGTTTTCCAAGAACAGTTAAATGCAGCTAATGTGTTTGGGTTAAAATCACACTTTGAAGAACACTCAACTCCTATTAGGCGCTTTCACACCGGAGTACTTTTCCCAGGAATAGTTCCAATAGTTCCTGGGATTTTGCGTTCACACCAAAAAGATCTGGAACTAGAAGTTCTGGAACCTTTTCACCCCTTTTCAGTCCCTGTTAGAGAGGTGGTACTTTCCTGGGGAGGAAAAGGTTCCAATTTCTGATTGGCTGGGCGAATTGCAAAAACCACGCCGTAAAACTCAGAAAAAGTTTTGTGAAGCCGCAATTTTATTTGCTCGCATTAGCATTATTAGCATTAGCATTAGCCCAGCGCACCAACGGAGAGAGACTAACTTATGGCAACACAAAATAAAACATGGGAGCGGTGGAGTGATGAGGAGGTGTCGGCGCTTCTGGCGATTTACCCGGGACTTGGGCGGCAGTATACGCCCTGAAGTTGTTTGCGGCCTGCCAGTAAACCCAAAGCAGAAGAAGAAGAAGTGACGTCAGCGGCTTCATTTGCGTAATCCTCCCTCAGGGACTTATTCCGGTGTGAACGCGATCCACTAGATAGTTCCGGAACTAAAGAGTTCCGGGGGAGTTCCGGGGGACGCCTATTAGGCGCTTTCACACCAATTACTTTGCCGTACATAGTTCCCAGTACTTAGTTCATCGGAACTCTTTAGTTCCCGGAACTAAAGAGCAGATCGCGTTCACACCGGAATAAGTCCCTGAGGGAGGATTAGGCAAATGAAGCAGCTGACGTCACTTCTTCTTCTTCTGCTTTGGGTTTACTGGCAGGCCGCAAACAACTTCATGGCGTATACTGCCGCCCAAAGTCCCCGGCCGGAAGTCCCCAGAGTTGGGGACTGGCTTCAGTAGAAGCTGCTGGGACTCCCAGCAGCTTCTACTCTGCTGAGGCTCAGTCATTGGTACACGTTTATTTATAAAGCTATGTTGGGTAAACTCCCGTATTATATCTGCTCTCTGATAACACAGAGAGTTGCAAGCAGCTATTGTCTGAGATCGCATGATGTAGTATTGTTAGATGTGCCAAGAGCAAGGACTGTCTTAGGTAAGACAGCTTTTATGTGCGCAACTCCACTTGCTTGGAACAGTCTACAGCTAAAATGGAAACTGAGCAATTTCATTCCTCTGAATGTTTTTAAAGCAAGTCTAAATGAAATGCTCATTGAAACTATGGGTATTTGTAAATTGTAAGCTTGTAAATATGTTGTATGATGTCCTCTATTGTTTTATGTTGTTTTATGTTTCATGTGGAACCTATTTGCTGCAGGTCTCCCTTGAAAAAGAGATCTATGATCTCAAGGGACCAATCTGGTTAAATAAAGGTTTGAAATTAAATGAAATTAATCAGAAATTGGAACCTTTTCACCCCTTTTTAGTCCCTGCTCTCTAGCAGGGACTAAAAAGGGGTGAATAGGTTTGCAAAAGAAAGTTCTAGTTCCAGATCTTTTTGGTGTGAACGCAAAATCCCAGGAACTATCGGAACTATTCCTGGGAAAAGTACTCCGGTGTGAAAGCGCCTATAGAGAGTCGAAGTCCCTCCCTTTCCGGTGACCACCATGGGACCTTATTTCGGAAAAATTATGTATTGAAGTCAATGGAGAGAGAAAACTTATCTTTCGATCCCGTTTGAATTGTGCCACGAATTACACATATGATGTTTGTCAATTTAAAAGATAATTTCCATGTCAAAAAGGTCAGTTTGTCGTAAAACTGTTGAAATATAAGACTATGAAAAATACGCAACTAGAAAGACTACACATCCCAGAATACCGGTCCTGCATGCTGGCTCTTACGGAACCGACAAACTCCCCTTTTGTGTACAGCTCTCAACATGCCCAGACTTGTAGTGATTTTCACCTCTTTTAATACTTTTCGCCTCATTCTGAAAGAAAGAGGTGAAATGTGCCAACGTGACGGCCGTCTTGGTGTGTGGTGCGAGACGGGAGATGTAGTTCATTGAGCGGTTTCACACAAAAAAAGTGTTACTTCACAGTTTTACGACACATTTTTATTTTTTTGACTTGTAAAATTATCTTTTAAATTGACAAAGATCATATGTGTAATTCGTGGCACAATTCAAACGGAATCGAAAGATAATCTTTCTCTCTCCATTGACTGCAATACATAATTTTTCCGAAATAAGGTCCCATGGAGGTCCCCCGGAAAGGGAGGGAATTCGCCTCTCTATTGGTTACTCTCTGTCAGAAGAATCTGAGGAATGAGACAGAGCTGTAAATGATCCTTACTCACACAAGTAGGTCCACACACACACACACACACACACACACACACACACACACACACACACACACACACACACACACACACACACACACACACACACACACACACACACACACACACACACACACACACACACACACACACACACACACACACACACACACACACACACACACACACACACACACACACACCAGTTCTGTTGCTATGTGTTTTTATGATATTGTTCTTATGTCACAATGCATTGGCTTTAGTTAGCAGGTGTATGTCTAAGGCGGTGGTGGCTAAAAGGTTAATGTGAGTTGAGACTATAATGTATTGGACTGCTCCCAAATATGCATGTGAGTAATTTCTATTACTTTTATAGCTTTTAAAATAAAGCTCGCTTTTTGTTTCTAGACCTTTTTACCTTTTTTGTAGTCTGCATTTGGGTCCTACCTTTTCCACGCATTCTAACAGAATGAACTGACCAACTATGAACCCAGCGGATTTTTATTTTGACTTGGATTCGATCTCCCTAGAGTACACTCTTCAGTGTCATTATGCTGAGGGGAGTAGAACCTCGGCTAAAAGGGACAAAGAGGCTGTCCACAAAAAGGCACAAATGGAGGTGGCCAACGTGCCATGGTTGAGGAGCTCGTTGCCTGAATTGCTCAGAGTTTTTTCGCGTAGCCCTGAGTGCCAGGCTCCATTCTCTGACCCTTTCTTGGGATCCCGCCTGGCGTTTGGAGGTCCACGGACTCTCCAAAAGACCTCTAATACCCCATTCACACCAACGGTGTTTCGGGGCCGGTTCGGTGCTGGTGCTTGAAAAGCACCGGGT